GACAACATTGCCCTCCTTCAGGTGGAGGACCACAGGGCAGAAGCCGACGAAGATCTCCTTCCCCGTGGCTAGGAGATGGCGACGTCGATGGCACTCGTACGTCGTCGCCGCCAAGGTCTTGTCGAGGCACCACATCTCCCCTCCAGAAGTGCCCGACTTGGCCTTCCCAGAGGGCGTGGTCGGCGTGCCAGCCACCCTCCAGCCATCCTTGCCCAGGGCCACTTGGGTGGCCGTCAGCTGCTCCGCAATGGCGTGGGTCTCCACGAAAGCGATGGCCATGTACTTGCGTTTGCCCCTCTCTGCGAGGAACTTGGCAGCCTGGGGGCCGTACTCAGTGACGCTGGCAAACAGGATGGACGCCTGCTTGCCCTCCATTCTCTGTCGACGCCTCTCCTCAGGAGTACGTCGCTGTGGTCTGCGCGCCCCCACGAGCCATGACCGCTGGGAGCTCGCTGCACCAGTGGCTGACGTTGGCCTCCACGCGGAAGGCTCATCCATGTACAGCGCGTGGGGCTCATCGCCCAGGTCCGCGAAGACGTCGGCTTCCCCCTGGTCCATGTGGCGGCATAGGCTGGCAGGGGCAGGGGCCCGACCCGTCGCCGAAGGCATCGGCCACCCGCCCGTCGGCGGCTTCGGCGACGGGGATCGCATGGAGTGAGGACTCGGCCACCCTTGCGGCCGCGGCGCACTCTCGATGCGTCTAGCCCCGCTCCCTCCTGCCATTATGCCCAGCCGCCATTGCTCCACGTCGACGTACCGCGAGGTCCAGGCCAACGTGTACTCGGGCAGGTGGAAGCTCTGCGGCACGGAGTCGCTAAAGCTGGCCCCCAGCAGGCCCTGCACCAGCAGGAGGAGCAGCTGCAGGGGGCCCGCCAGCAGCAGCAGTCGCCACCTTGGCCTTCGCGGCAGCAGCGGCCTTGGCCGTGCGGCAGGCCATGGACGCGGCCTCGCCAATCTGCTTGGCGCTGCGCTCCTGCTCCGCTGCCTCCTTGTCAGCGCGGGCCTTGGCTGCTGCCTCGGCCGCGCTCTCTGGGGCCTGGCCGCCTGTGGCCGTCGTCGCCTCGGGAGCCGCATGGGCCTCCTGGCGCGACGGCGGGCCAGGCGCTGGGGAGGCGGGGTCATCCTGCACCCGCCTGCGCTTCTTCTGGGCCTCACGGAACTCCTTGACCATCTGCTGCTGCATGCGGCAGTTGGCCTCGAAGTTGGCCCTCGCCTCCTCCATGATGGTCTTACCCTCCGTGCAGAGCTTGCGGAGCTCCTCCTGGGCCTGCTCCTCCAAGTCCTCCCAGCCCTCGAAACTCTCGGCGTCGAAGTTGAAGGTGACCTGGCGAGACGGGTCGACGGCCGCGGCCGCAGCGCCCGTCTCTTTGGCCCTGAGAACGAGGAGGTCGGCCCCCTCGCGCTGGGCGGAGTCGAAGTTCGCAGCGCACTGGTCACGCCATTCCGTCGCCTCCGCAAGCTTGTCCTCTGCCTCCGTGCGCGTTGGCGGCCTCGTCGAGGATCTTGCGCCAATGCAGTCGTCGGTCCGTAGCTGACTGCAGCTTCTGCGCCAGGGTGCGCACGGCCTGGGGCGGGGGCGCAGCCTTGTACTCCCTCACCGGTTTGAAGACCCACTCGAGCTCGCCGCGGATGCCCTCGTCGGGGCACGCCAGGAGGCGCGCGAGCTCGTCACTGGCACCACCTTGCGAAACACATGGAGCATCAGGAAAGGCTTGACGACGCTCACCCTGTCCTGGGCCTGCAGGTTGGGGGGCGCCCCCGTCGGCCAGAGCCTGTGAGGCCTTGCCACGCTTGGGGCCGCCGCCGCCAGGGCCCGCCCCCCACACGCCTCCTGGCTGCTGCACGCGGCCAAGAGAGGGCTTGAGCGGGCTCGCGCATTTCCAGCACCAGCGGTTGCGCCTGAAGTTCCAGGCGTAGCTGCAGGACTGGCACTTGGCGTATCCCTCGGCAGCGCGGCGCGCCGCCTGCTGGCTCTTCCCCATGCTGCGCGAGAGGAACAGAGAGCGCTCACCTGCGGGCAGCAGGAGGCCCGAGGGTCGAACAAAACTGTCGGGCCAGGGAGCCCTGGCACTGGCCGCGGACTAGCGGTATCCACGTGTTCCACTGTGGAGCAAAGCATATTGAGCCAAAATGGCGACGGAAGGAGGAGGAGGAGGAGGAGGAGGAGGAGGAGGAGGAGGAGGAGCCTCTCGGCCCTCCAGGGCCGTCCTGGGGCCCTCCTGGGCCGTCTCGGGGCGCTCTCGGGCTGTCTGGGGGGCCCCCATGCGCTCCCGGCCCTGGTCGGGTGTCGCTAGATATAGACGTACAATCGGGGCGTTGACCTAAGGAACCCGAAATAAGGAACGAGGCCCCTTTTTTCCATAAGTTAAACTTTGATTTCCCATCGAAAATCTGGAGGAAACCCAGGGCAAACTGTGAAACAATGAAGGAACACGGAGCCCCTCCCCAACGAGAAGGGTTCCTTCGCCAGCGCCCCGACTGTAGTCCTGGCCCAGGGTGTTTCCCCCCCCTCCTCCCCCCGGGAATCCTCACCCTGGGCCAGGGACACCAGGATACCCAACCCGGAGCCCAGCGGGGTCCTCGCTGGTCCTCGCGAGGGGTGCTCCCGAGGCCACCGCCCAGAGCTTCCCCGAAGAGGCTGGGGCCGCCCTGGGCGAGTGCCACGTCAGGGGGGGGCAACAAGCATGAATGCGGCGCGACCTCAATTCGGGGTTGTCTTCCTTCCTCCCAAAAGCAAGCCAGATCAGTTATGAGCAGTGCAAATCAGTGCAATGCCAGACATTGAGTGGCATTGCTTGGCACTGCTTAGAACTATTGCTTGGCGTTGCCTGGCATGGCTTGGCATGGCTTGGCATGGCTTGGCGTTGCCTGGCATGGCTTGGCATGGCTTGGCGTTGCCTGGCATGGTTTGGCATGGCTTACATTGCCTGGTTTTGCTTAACATTGCTTGGCAGTGCTTGGGATTGCTTGGCATCGCGTGGCATCGCGTGGCATCGCGTGGCATCGCTTGGCGATGGTTCGGCATCGCTTGGCGTCAGTGCCTGGCGCTGCTTGGCAGTGCTTGGAATCGTTGCTCGCCATTGCCTGGCGTTGCTGGACGTTGCTTGGCACTGTATACGGGCAGCCCTGGGCAACCCCGCGGAACCCCGAGCAACGGGCAGTCCCGGTCAACCCCGAGGAACGCCAGGCCCCGTCTCTGACGAAGGCCGACGCACCCCTCAGCTTCGCACCAAAAGCACAAAAAAAGTCGCGTCCTAACAGAAATCACGACGGGATTTGTCTTGCCGTTTCCGGCCTCCGGGGGGCCCTCGCCGAACCCCGGGACCGTCAACAAAAACAACTCGGAACGGAAAATCGGCCCTGGGGAACGGGTCGGGACTTCCGAGCCGGGACGCTTTTCCTCTTTGGCCACCCCCAACCCTCTCCTCCCCTCCCCCCCCCTCGTCTCATCTGGCGCCCTCTCCTCCTCCCTGCAGCCCCCCCGCCCCCTCTCACTTCCCCCACTGCCCCAGGGCTTGGCGCCGGGGCACGCCCCGTCACACCGCGCACCAGGCCCAGAGAAGGCGCTCAGAGTGCGAGCCTGCTACAGTCGGGGCGTTGACCTAAGGAACTCCAAATAAGGAACGAGGCCCCTTTTTTCCATAAGTTAAGCTTCGATCTCCCATCGAAAACAAAAGGAAAACCCGAGGCAAGCTGCGAAACACTTAAGGAACACGGAGCCCCTCCCCAACGAAAAGGGTTCCTTCTTCAGCGCTTTGACTGTACGGCTGCCAACGCGGCGCCTGAGGCTAGGAGGCCTCCGCTGCGAGAGCGGACGGTGCGCCGCGCACCGCAAGCCCGGCGGCATGCCCTGCACATGTTCGGCGGCGCTCTGAGAAGCTTCCTCGGGGGGGGGGGGGGGAAGGTTCTTTGAGGATTCCTTCCAAAAGCCTTCCTAGGACCTTCCTCGGGAAGGCTCCTGTTGCCAGGGCTGGGGAGGCTTCCTCCCACAAAGCCTTCGGAGAAGGCCCGGAGAGCTTCTCGGGAGGCCAGGAGGCCTTCGGAGCCCTCTGAGAGGAGGCCCGCCGCCCTACGCTTGTGGATGCCACGACAGTGGACACCCTAACAGCCCGATCATCGAACTAAAAATGTGTGTCAAGCGTCGGAGAAAGTCCTGGAAATGTTCCAAACATGTTGGTTTACCTGTTTAAAACAATCTTAACATGTCCTGGACATCTGGAAATTGTTTGGCTGCATGCCTCCTCTCCATTGGATCGTCCTCCACAGCCCTGCGCCTCTTCCCCTATGGGGCGCGCCGCCGAAGCGCGGCACCGAGAGGCCTCAGCTCCGGCGGGGCGTGCCCGTGCACAGCACGCCCTCTCTGAAGGGGCCCAAGGACACACCAATGAATACACACAGATAGCAGGATTCCCAATTCCCATACTTTCTGGGTTTTCGTCTTCCCCCCCACTTCCCATATTTTCCCATATTTTCTGGGAGTCGACGGTTGATCGTGGCTGTGTGTTTTGTTCCCTCCTGACACTCCCCCTTCCACGCCAGAGCTCCGACGTCGTGACTTCTACACCGCGTGGCTCCCCTGGAGGGCTGGACTCCTTCCCCAGGACGGGCTCCTCGTCCCCACTCGTTCTTGGACCCGCCCAGGGCCCGGCGCGGGCCCCCGAAGGCAGAGAGCTGCCGAGAGCTTGCTGCCTCTTTCGACACAACCCAACAAAAAAAAGCCTCCCGCAGTGGCTTTTGTTAACCAGCCTCGAACGTATCCCTATCCCTAAGATGGGCGAGCAAAAAGCGAGGACAATCTTAGGGATGGGCCCTCAGAAACTGAGGGAATCCTTAAGATCGGCATCGAGGTGAGGTGATGTCAAACATAGGGATAGGGATATGTTTCAAACTGGAAATTCTGTCGCACGGCGAGGAGGTGGGGGCGGCGAGGATATGGGGGAGCACGGGGTGCCCGCTCGCTTCCTCGCTCGCCGCCCTGCCTTTCCCTGGCCGTGGGCAGCCTGATGCCTCGCTCGTCGCACCGCCCGTTCACCTTCTTGAACTCGAGCTCGGCGATCTGCGCCACCTCCATCTTGGAGAGGGACTTGAAGACTATGACCTCGTCAAGCCTGCCGCGAGTGGAGGAGGAGGAGGAGGAGGAGGAGGAGGAGGAGGAGGAGGAGGAGGAGGAGGAGGAGGCCGTCCTTCTTTGCTCCTCTAGGTTATGAACGTGTCAGCCGAGAGCGGGATGGTGGCACGAAAGCACACACGCACACACACACCGCCATGCCACTCCGCGCGGCGGCCCGCTCCAGACCCCAGCGCCCACCAAGCCCAGGGAGCCTCCTCCTCCTCCTCCTCTTCTTCTCCTCCTCCTCCTCCTCCTCCTCCTCCTCCATTCCTCCTGCTCCTCCTCCCCTCTCCTCCTCCTCCTCCTCCTCCTCCTCCTCCTCCTCCTCCTCCCTCCTTCTCCTCCTCCTACTCCTCCTCGTCCTCCGCCTCCGCCTCCGCCTCCGCCTCCGCCTCCGCCTCCGCCTCCGCCTCCTCCGCCTCCGCCTCCTCCTCCGCCTCCTCCTCCTCTTCTTATAAGTATTATTAGTATTCGTCGTATCCTTCGACTTCTTTTTGGTATTATCATTTATGTATGTATTTATTTGTTTATTTATGTGTTTATGTATGTATGTGTTTATTTATGTATGCAGTTATGAATTTATTTATTTATTTATTTATGTATGTATTCAGTTATTTATTTATTTAGTTGTTCATTTAATTATTTATTTATTTTGTTTGTGCATTTATTTATGTATTTATGTATGTATTTATTTATGTATGTATTTGTTTATGTATTTATTTGTTTATGTATTTATGTATGTACGTATGTATGTATTTAGTTATTTATTTATTTATATTATTATTAGTAGTATTAGTATTAATAGTATGATTATTATAATTAATATTATTAGTATTATTATTAATATTATTAGTATTAGTAGTAGTAGTATTATTATTGGTATCACTAGTAGTATTATTATTGCTATTAGTATTACTATTATTATTATTATTGGTATTGGTAATTGTATTATTAGTATTACTAGTGTTGTTATTATTATTATTATTTTTAATAAGAATAATAATGTTAGTATTAGTATTCATAGTATTATCCTTATCATTAGTATTACTAGTATTATTATTAATAGTCTTAACAATAGCATTCTGAATATTATTAGTAGTAGTATTATTCGTATGATTAATATTATTAATGTTATCATTATTATTATGAGTTTCATCATTGACAGTATTATGATTAGTAGTCGTCTTATCGTATTGTTAGTATTCGTGTTCGTCGTATTCATAATATTATTATTAGTGGTAGTAGTATTATTATTCTTATTGCTATGATTATTATTATTATTATTAATGATAGTAATAGTGTTAGTGTGTTTCTTCGTATTCGTGTTATTATTCTTATTCGTATTAGTAGTATTGTTTTCTTAGTCGTCGTATTATTATTCGTAATACGATTATTATTAGTATTCATCTTCTTATTCGTAATATTCTTCGTTATAGTATTATTCGTTTTATTCGTCTTATTCTTCTTCTTCTTCCTCCTCCTCCTCCTGCTTCTCCTCCTCCTCCTCATTATCCTCCTCCTCCTCCTCCTCCTCCTCCTCCTCCTCCTCCTCCTCCTCCTCCTCCTCTCCTCCTCCCCCTCGTCCTCCTCCTCCTCCTCCTCCTCCTCCCTCCTCCTCCTCCTCCTCCTCCTCCACCTCCTCCTCCTCCTCCTCCCCCTCCTCCACCTCCTCCCTCCTCCTCATCTCCTCCTCCTCCTCCTCCTCCTCCTCCTCCTGCTCCTTCTCCTCCTCCTCACTCCTCCTCCTCCTCCTCCTCCTCCTCCTCCTGCTCTTCCTCCTCCTCCTCTTCCTCCTCCTCCTCCTCGCCTCCACACGTCCTGCGAAGGACGGCACAGGGTCGGGCATGTCCTCCTTCGGGCGCATTTGGGACGAAAACTATAAAACATACTCACAAATATCCAACAAATATGCAGACATACTCAAAAAATCGTACCCAGACTACTGTTTGACTATTGTTTGAACACTCCTCCTGTAGAGGGACAGGCCCGACTTAATCCTACACCCCCGCGCGATCCACCCTCCCACGCTCATGGAACGACTCGGAGTAACCAGTCTGAGCTCCCCAGTTCCAGAGAATGCGGCAGAATCATCGGGTTCTTGTGCTTCGAGGCCTCCCATGGCATGAAGGGTAGTGAGAGCGGGAAGTGGATAGCTGTAGAGACAAGTGGCGGCCAGGAGGGAGATCAAAATAGGGTGAGTGGCAGGCTCAGTTTGCGCCCTCCTCCTCTTCATCATCATCATCATCCTCCTCATCCTGCTCCTCCTCCTCCTCCTTGCCTCCTTGCCTCCTTGCCTCCTTGCCTCCTTGCCTCCTTGCCTCCTCCTCCTCCTCCTCCTCCTCCTCCTCCTCCTCCTCCTCCTCCTCCTCCTTCTCGCCCTCCTTGTCCTTATCATCCGTCCCCTCCTCTTCCCCCCCCTCCTCCTCCTCGAGGGCCGGGGCGCGCGAGAGGAGGCGGCGCACGCGCCCCCGCGCGAGAAAGAGCGGCACGAGCAGAAGCACCGTCGCGAAGGTCCGCGCGGGGCGGTCGGATCGGCGCCGGGCCGCGCTCCGCGCGCCGGAGCTGTGTGGCATCCTCGGGGGGGCCCTGTCTGTCCCGTCGCGGCCCTGTCCGCGGCGGGTCCGTGTCGGAGCCGTGTCGAAGCCGCGTCGGGTCCACGCCAAAGCCGCGTCGGGTCCGCGTCGGGCACGCGTCGGGTCCCCCGAGAAGACGCCAATGTTTGGGGACAGGCGAGGTCCCCCGAAGATGCAACAGAACCAGAGAGCATGCGGCTCCCGAGGGGACGCCAGCGAGAGGGGCTTCCGAGGCCGCGGCGTTGCGTTTTCAAGGCCTCCTCACCCTATCGCACTGCCGCCATGGCGCGCGAAGCCGACGGACTCGAGGTGTCGGCACCACCCGTCTCAAGACTCCCTTCCCCGGGGGCCCGCTGGGAGACATGTGCAGAGAGCGGGGCCAGCGCCGAGCCGAGGCATCCGCGCGGGCCTCCCGCCGTTTAATGCTCGCGCGGGGTGGTTCTTCTTCGAGGGGGGGCCGTACAATCAAGCCGCGCTGGCCCTCTATATGTACGGCGCGATGTTCTTTAGAGAAACAGGAGGGAAACCGAAGGGACGAATGGCGGACAGACAAGCCACCAATGTGCTCAGGGCGCCCCTTGGGGGAGCCTCTGAAACTGTCTTGCAGCGAGTGGTGGTGCTTTTGGCGCTGGCTTGGAGCGTCGAAAGTCCACGGAAAACAAGTATGTGCTTCTTGGGGCCCTCTTGGGGGCCCTCTGGGAACCCTCTTGTAGCGTCTGGGGGGCTGGAAGCCTCCGTAGAGCGCCTCAGGAGCGTGATGGGCCACCTGGAAACAACCACGGGCGTCTGGGAGTGATTTTCCGGCGCCCCAGAAACGCCCCGAGAGCCCCAAGTCGCCTCTGGAGCATGGGGCACATCTGGGCCCCCAGCGCCCGCCATGCGCTGTCGAATCCCCGGCCCCAGGCCCCCAGGCCTCGTATGCACATACACATGCATGCCTATATGCACATACATATACAAATATACGTACATATACGTATACATGTTCATACGCAGATTATGTGCGTATATCTGCACATGTACGTAAACATATGCATACACATATCCCTGTACATATACATGTACATATGCATATGCATATACATATACATATACATATACGTATGCATATACATATATATATGCATACATATACATATACCTATACATATACATGCACAAATACACATACACGTACATCTAAAGATGCATGTTCATACGCATATACAACTGCATAAAGAAAAGCATGGACATAGACATTGACATTGACATATATATATATGTGTAAATGCGCAGATCTATATATATATATATATATATATAAAAAGTGCATGCATGTACACATGTTAAAATACACATACCTATACACAAACAGATACATACACATACACACATGCATAAACCTACGTGTACAATTGTAAATACACACAGATACATACACATGTACATACACGTACACATGTACACATACATATACAAATACATACACCTATACATACCCGTGTACATATGCATTCACATATACATAGACACATACATATACAAATCCATATGCGTATACGTATGCATGTACTTATGCATCGACGTAAACGTATACATATGCATATACATAGATGTAGACATACGCACATACGCATTCGTATGCATACACAGATGCATATGCCTACACATACACGAAACATATACACAGACATAAAGAGATGCATGGACATATACATACACGTATGCATATGCACACGCATGCACAAGTGCAATTACCTATACATGCACCTATACACATATTCAGATATACACATACAACCATATCCGTATATATATATATGTATAGAGATGCACTTGCAAATGAACATACACACTCATAGACAAACACATACACACGTATATAACCTATACCTATGTGGGTATACAGATTCAACTACGTCTACAAATACATATACATTCATATGCACTTAAACATTCACGTATACATACACATGCACATCTACATAAACATATACATATACATGTCCGTACAAATATACACAAACAAATGCATATTCACGTGCATTTGCATACACATATGCACATACCGCTGTATGTACATAATTATATACACATGCGCACTGCATCCACATACAAAAGCACAAACATATACACGTGCATGTGCATATACATATGCAAATACCTACACATGTACGTACACCTATACCTACACAAGGACATATACATGTACAGCTACCTATGCATATACATATACCTATTCATTTCCATATACGTATATGCATATACATCTACATTACAGACACGTATCGATGTGTCAACATCAGTAAGTGTGTGTGTGTGCAGATGCACATAGATATACTTATACATAAAGAGAGAGAGAGAGAGAGAGTGGGCAAAGTATGGGTCGATCGAGATGTATAAGGTATCTGTGTACAGAGAAAGGGTCTCAGACATAAGCCTTTCAAGTAGAACGGCCGCGACATCTCCGCAGAGGAGCTGCGAGGGCTGCAGGATGAGCACCGGCAGGCCGCGGAGCATGCGAGAGGCACGAGGGACGAGGCCTGTTGAGGAACTCTGGCTTGAAGAAGCCCTTCAGCTGCTCCAGCACCTTGGACTTGAGTATACCGTACTGGGACTGGCCTCCGCGCGTGGCGCCGTGGCGCGCGCGCCCTCGCGCGCCGACCAGGCACGCGCGCGACCACGCGAGGCTCGCATGCACTCACGGCCGGCTGCTGCCCGCCAAGGGCCGGCCGCGCTTGCTGGACCGCCCGGCACTGGGGAAAAGGAACGTCCCGAGAGGAGTCAGACCTTCGGCCTGCATTGGTAGGCGCGGACTGTGGGCACCTCCTGTTGCTCTGCGTCTCGATCTGATGGTGCTTCACACGGAGTCTAGACACCCGCCAGAAGGACAGTATTCCGTTCCAAGAGAAGCCCCCTGATCGCGTTCGCATGACGTGTGCAGCATGAGTGGCGCAACCGTACCGCCAACGCGACCACGCCATACCCAGACTCCAAAGCGCAACTTGTAAATCGAATCGGTTCCGAAACAAGGCAGCCCCATGTTCGAGAGCGAAGATGGGAACCTGTTTCCTGTAGCACGAGTTAGCCTATCTGCAACAACCTGCAACTGCACTTTGGCATCACGGGTCGCGGACATCCGTGTACTTCGACGAACGCTGCGACAACTGCACGCCGCGCCACCAATCGAGACAGCACAACAACGATCAAGCAGATAGGGGGCCACGATGCGAACCCTGCCCCTCCCCCGAGTGCAAGACCGAGTGCAAGACCGATCGCTCTGCGCTGATCGCGTGCCACGCAGCACGCATGCCCCAGCAGGCCCTTGGCTCCCGCCCCTCTCGCGTATGTCGAGTACCCCGCTTTGTCGGGGGGGACGCACGCCAGCTCCTGGATAATATGAAAATCAAAATTGAAACTTTGTTTTATATATATACAAGAAAATATAGGAAACCAAACAAAGACTTGAAAAAAACATAGAAATATAGAAAAATATAGGCCAATGACTTGAAAGACTGGAAGACAAATATAGGAAAATATAGAAATATAGGAAACCAAAAAAAGACTTGAAACAAACAAAAAAAAGGTGCGACAGGCGGGCCGGGCCTCCTGCCAATCTCCCCCGTGCTCCACGACTCTCCCTCCCCCGTCGTCGCTCTCCTCCTCCCTTCCCTGCCCTGTTCCGGCTGCTGCGCCAGCTGCCCGCGGCAGGTAAGGAAGACACACCCCCAAGGGGGGTACGATCGAAGACGAAGAGGGCGGGTACCGAGAGCTTGGGACACGCGTGTTGAATGGCGCACGGGCAGATAAGAGCGAACAGCCTTAAAAATTGTAAGGCTGCAACAAACATCATTTTAAGTAAAAGTGATGTTTGTTGTAGCCCAGGGGGCAACAGCGCGGTTTGAGCCTGAAGACCTTCCCAGACAGAAAGCAGGGCGCGAGCGTCGATATGGGGCATTCCATCTGCGAGCAATGAATAGTATGCAGAAGTGAGAGCTCAACTACAGCAAAGCAAAACTGGGTCTGAGAGGATGGCACGTGCCCAATATATATCTATATATATAACACTCTCTCCTGCTACGACACGCCTGGGATGCCTGATGAAACCAAAGAGAATGTTCAAACATGGGCGCTGCGCAGTTGGAGGCGGAAAGAGGGGGAGAGGGAGGGTGAGAGAGATAGGGAAGTGAGTGGGATGTGGAGGAGGAGGAGGAGGAGGAGGAGGAGGAGGAGGAGGAGGAGAGGGAGGAGGAGAAGGAGGAGGAGGAGGAATGGGATGGTGGAGGGGGGGCGGAGGGGGAGGGGTGATGCGGGATGGGAATGTGGGCGGGGTGGGGCGATGGTGGAAGAAGTGAGGGGAGGAGGAGGAGGAGGAGGAGGAGGAGGAGGAGGAGGAGGAGGAGGAGGGAGGGGGATCGAGGGGGTAACGCAAGTCCACGCAAGTCCAACCAGCGAACCAAAAGAAGGCGCTGTCTGCGCGCAGCCAGCCTGCTCTGGGATGCACAAAGACATACTAGTACTATATGTTATCCTCGGAGGCGCGCGTCCGACCCGGACATATAGTATACCCATATTGTAGCATATCGTTTCCCGAGCGGTGTGGCCAGAAAGCGCCCGCCACGACGCATATACTGTAAGATTTCTCAGTGCGCGCGTCGCCCCCAGGGGGGCGACGCACATATAGTATAAGTATGTTGGGGTGACGCCGATGCTCGCTCAATGAGCTGTCTGCGCGCAGCCAGCCTGCTCGCTCAGTGAGCTGCCACTCTCGCGGAGCGCGCCCGCGCCCTCCCGGGGGGCTTTTTCCCGACCCGCCCAGGCTTCGCCGCTGGAAGGACCTCGGGGGAGTGTCCTCGGCATCACGGATATAAAGTTAGGTCGGGGGTGTCCTCCTAGAGGCAGAGCTTGGACGAAAAAACACACAATTGACAGAACAATTTCAAACAATATTCAAAAGCAACAACAACAACAACAACAACAACAACAACAACAACAACAACAACAACAACAACAATTACTAGCACGTGGGGACACTCCGTTCTCACCAGTGCCAGGGTTTTCATAGGAGGCGGGCAATACCCCCACTTTGTGGGGGGGCCGGTTCAAGCTCTACCAAATTTCCAAACGACTCTTCGCCACCACCCACACCCAGCTTCCCGCCCTATGACGTTCGGACACTTCACTTCGTGGCCTGCGGACGACCTTGGCTACTACACTGGCGCATGGGTACAGTGACTTGTTGTGGTAACATTTTCTGCAGGCTAGCTTAGTATACGACTTTTCCCCCTGTTCCAACACTGGACACCTGTACTGGTTTTCCGTGGTAACATGTTCCTGACGCTAGAATAGGAAACCACGGTAAACCAGTACGACGCCGGTACTGTCTGTAGGTCGGAGCGCCCCGCATAATTTGAAAGCTGTATTATACTCGATGCCCAGGTGGCGGATGGCAGAGCCGTGCTGCTCCTCCAGCTCCTTGGCGCTAGAAATACTGACCTTGCCAGGCACAACCCGATACTTGCCCCACCAAGTCTTGCACGCCTGGTGACTGGCCTGGATACCCTTTGCAACGAGCGCCTGATGCAAATGATACGGGCTGCCGCAGTCAGCCAAGGGAGGCCGCGACAGCTCTGGGCCATACTGGTCGTCAAGGGCTTTCGCCGACAAAGCCATGACCCATCCAAGAACACAGGCGATACCTTGATCCGAGATGGCTACGGATGTGACAGTGATCAGTGATTTTGTTCGATGACGTGGTGACGCACGGACTTGTTGTGGTAACATGCCGACGACGACGACGACGACGACGACGACGCGACGACGCGCGCATGTGTCCCGCATGGTATTTTTTGCAAGGGATTGTGGCCCCTGGCAGGCGCGCGAACGCCGTTGAAAGAGCGTGCGAAAGTAGCTCGCGCGAGCTCATGAACATAAATGTTGAAAAACCATTTGTTTTTAAGGATTCGGACAGCGCGCGCGGGTAGAAATTTGGAAAATCCGTGCACGTGTTTTTCGAGGACCTACGGTGCGATTCGTGCGATTTTATGATACGCGGTGCTGAAATTCTTAAGAAACCCAATGGTGTTTGAAGATTTCGGCGTGCGCGCGCGAAGAAAAAACGAATGTGTCCCATATGGTATTATTTGACAGGGATGATGGCCCTGGCATGCGCGCAACCGTTGTTGCAGAAGTTCGAAGCACGTGAAAAAGTTGCTCGCAAGAGCCCGTTTGACAGAAATGTTGAAAAAGTATTGGGTTTCCTAAGAAATCCGCAAGAGCGCGCGGGATGAATTTTTGAAACTTTTGTTTTGAAAAACCATTGGGTTTTTCATGTTTTTATGTTAAAATCGCTACGAAAACTAAGGTTTTGGAAGGATTTCATCTTGCGCGCGCGAGTGTGCACTTCGTGTCATTTTTTGCAAAGGATTCTTGAAGTTTGGTTATGTTAGAACAAGACATGTCATTTTATATTGTTTTTTGACAGGGAAAGCGGGCGTCAACAAAACAACCGGATCCGGACTCCCCCGTTTTGCCTGAGACTTCCTCACGAAAATGATGAAAATGTGGCTGCGGCCTAGGCGCGGCGAGGGGGGCGTGCACCAGGGGGCCCAACAATAATTATTCTTTAGAAGTAATAATATTCAACAACAACAACAACAACAACAACAACAACAACAACAATCATTTTACCCGAACGCTCAGTGTTCTCACCAGTGCCAGGGTTTTCATGCGACGCGAGACAATACCCCCACTTCGTGGGGGGGCAGTTCAAGCTCTACCAAATATCCAAACGACTCTTCGCGACCACCCAAACCCAGCTTCCCGCCCTATGACGTTGGGACACTTCACTTCGTGGCGTGCGGACGACCGTGGCTACTACACTGGCGTGGGGTACACACCCACAGAACTTGGTCACTTATTCGGGGCGCGCGTGTGCCCAGCATCCTGCAATTGTGACATACAATACATGACACAGACAGACAGAGAGAGAGACAGAGAGCAGACAGAGAGAGAGACAGAGAGAGCGGAGTTGGTCACATTTTTGGGGCAAGTTCCTGAGATCGTCGTGTTTTTTGTTGGTCTTGCGCGCGCGAATGTCCACTTTACTTTTTTTTGCAAGGGAGTATTGAAATTTGATTATGTTAGAACAAGAAAAAGTAGCTCGCGCGAGCTCATGTAACATAAATGTTGAAAAACCATTGGTTTTGTGGGAGTCGGACAGCGCGCGCGGGATGAAATTTGGACATTTTTTTTTGAAAAACCATTGGGTTTTTGATGTTTTTATTTTGAGGTCGTTACGAAACCTAAGGTTCTGGAAGGATTTCGTCTTGCGCGCGCGAATGTCCACTTTACCGTATCTTTTGCAAGGGATTATTGAAATTTGATTATGTTAGAACAAGAAAAAGTAGCTCGCGCGAGCTCATGTAACATAAATGTTGAAAAACCATTGGTTTTGTGGGATTCGGACAGCGCGCGCGGAAGGACATTTTGACAATTTTTTCTTAAAAAACCATTGGGTTTTTGATGTTTTTATGTTAAAATCGTTACGAAACCTAAGGTTTTGGAAGGATTTCGTCTTGCGCGCACGAATGTCCACTTTACCTTATTTTTTGCAAGGGATTCTTGCAATTTGATCAAGTAAGAACAAGAATTTTCATTTTATAGTGTTTTTTGCAAGGGAAAACGGATTACAACAAAACAACCGGATCCGGACACAATCCACTTTTCTGAAGCTTTCGCTAGAAAATGAAGGAAATGAGGCTGCGGCCTAGGTTTTGGAGGGGGGTCGCGCACCAGGGGTCTCAACAATAATATTTCTTTAGAAGTAATAATGTTCAACAACAACAACAACAACAACAACAACAACAACAACAACAACAACAACAACAACAACAACAAAACGTCCCCAGACTATGGTTTGACCATTTGTTTTAAATGTTCCTCCTGTAGAGGGACGCGCCCGACTTCCGGCTAGAGAGCAGCCGCCCAGCGTGTCGGGCACGACCCAGCTGTCAACAGGAAGAAATGGTAGGACGGGGACGAGGCACGGGTAAGCCCACAGAGAAGCCTGGGGAGATCCGCCTCCGCCTCCGCCTCCTCCGCCTCCTCCGACTCCTCCTCCTCCTCCTCCTCCGCCTCCTCCGCCTCCGCCTCCTCAGAGGGGGATCAGGGCCAGGGGAGTGCAAGGAAACAGCGCGTCGCGGGGGATCGGGGCTAGAGGGCACCGGGGCCACACAGGGCGCCAGAGAAGGTCAGAAGGGAGCCCGAGAGGAGGGTCAGGCCTGGGGGTTGTGTGGGAGGGGATGCGGGCAAAGAGGTCGATGTCATGCGCCCTGTCCCGCCAGGAGGTGACGACGTGCACGCAGAGGCTTCGAGCTCGCAGTGCCCTGCGGACGCGACTGAGGCAGCGAAGCGGAATCATGGACCCCAGGCACCGGCTCCGCGCAGATCCGACAGCGTTGGAGGCCTGGAAGTTGGCACCAACACCAGCACAGGGGATTACCTCCACATGGGGATGATGATCCTAGATTTCGGTGTTGGTGGTAAGATTTCGGCCACCTTGGACGCCAGAATACTACCACCATCACCAAGATCGGGATCTGTCTTCCCTCGGTGGAGGAACAGCGCCGATGTTGGTGTTGGTGTCAATCTCCAGGCCTGCGATCGTGGACCCCAGGCACCGGCTCCGCGCAGATCCGGCAGCGGGCCTGGCCAGGCCTGCCACGGGCGCGGCGGAGGGAGGGCGGAGCCAGCAGGCAGCAGCCCCCGGAGCGGAACCTGACTAGCTTTAAGTCGGGCCTGTCCCCCCACAGGGAGATTTTCGACGAACAATTTTTTAAAAACCCAAAAAATACACCAAAAAGGTCAAAAAATACTCCAAAAAATAGTCCCCAGACTATTTTTGGACTATTGTTTTACTATTCTGAGGGTATTTTTTATTTGTCGTCCAAATCCCCCCTGTAGGGGGACAGGCCCGACCTAAGACTAGCTACCAGACCACCCCAACCCAACCCGAGGACCCGAAGGTCGCCCGAATTGCGGGTTGGGGGGGGTGCGGGTTCCATGTGTTTTTGTCAATGCTCCCCGACCCCCCCTACCCCGCTGGAAATGGAGGGCAAACTGAGGCCTTCGGGTTGGGTTGGGGTGGCTTGGTGGGTGGTGGGGAACTGCGGAGAAGGCATTGCCTCCAAGCCGATGCAATGCCAGCGGTGCCAGCTCCTGGCCAGCCTGCACTGCGCGGCGACGGAGAGGGAGAGAGGGAGAGGGGGAACGAGAGAAGCAAGCAGACGACGGCGAACGCGCAGGCGGGAGGCCAGGGTCGACTACACGCAAGAGTGGCCCTGGGTAAGAGTGACCTTTGGTGCGCGGCTTTTTGGGGACCGCGGGGGGACCAAACACAAGCGCGCAAGACGCTGCTATCGCATCGCGTTCGGCGATCGGGGGACCCCACTGTGCCCGCACCAAAGGTCACTCCGGCCAAGGGTCACTCTTACGCCTAGTCCACGGGGCTGGTGGGACGAGGCGGGGAGGACAGCGGGGAGAGCAAGCGGGGAGCAGGGGAGGAGACAGAGGGCACTGCCTCTTCCACAACCCCTGGCGGCGCCTCTGGCGCCGCGCCCGGGGCGCGCCCCGCGCGCCGGGGAAGGGGGCCCGCCGAGCCAGGCAGTCCGCGCGGACCTCCAACAGCTTCTGCTCACGCCGCTGGGTGTGCGTCGAGCCGGCACCGGGCCGCATCGGCTCGCCGGGACACCGGCATCGGATGGGTCTGAGCCAGCCGAAGTCGACAGCGAGCCTGGAGCCCAAAACATGTAGCGCTGCTCCCTCTGGACCTCTCCAG